CAGAATCATTTAGCAAGTAAGACTGGCACCAATTTTCATTTTCAGCTGGTCCCAGAATGAGATATTAATGTGAACTAGGCAATATACATGAAGGTTCCATAACCTTCAGTACCAAAGTCTAAAAAATCTGTAAACTGATTTTTAAAAATTGTATGGCAGAACTCTACCAACTTTGTGTCACTATAGTGAACTATATAAGCACACTGCTGTTTTTCATTAACTTCTGACCATTAATACCTCAAAGTGGATAGAAGATCAATTTTACTAACCGTCCACTTTTATTTTTAAGCAAGTTGTTTACTGGGCTTTAAATTAGGTTTCTAGATTACTTGAGTATATTTAAATTATCCATGCCCTCCCAGTCAGTTACCAAAGCTCAAATAAGAATTAGTTTTACCAAGATTTGGGCCCCATATAAGTTGGACATTAAAAGGAAAAAAAGAAACAACTGAATTTTAAGGAAAAACAATGAAGATTTTCTTGGGACCCTAGAAGCTGGACTCTTAAGTCATTCGTTCATTAACCTAATAGGAGCCAACAGGGAGAGAGAGACTTTTAAACATCTAAATAGGCAGGTACACTTAAAGATACATGGCATAAACTGGTCTAGGAAAAAAGAAGAAAGGGAAAACCACAAGTTAAAATTCAGAGTACTTCAACAGATGTGTACCAAATAGCAAGTAACCTTACTAGGAAGATGGTCACTGATACAGCTAAAGAGAAAGGGCCATAAAGGAAACTGTGACCAGCTTATGTCAATGAGATACATAAAAGCACTTTAAAAAAATAAATAAATATAATCTGCATTTTATTAGAAATGACTAGCTGGTGTCTTGGTTTGGTAGTGCAATAGCACCATTACAGCAAGGGTAAGCAGGTCAATCCCTTGCAAAACTTACCTTGATTGGCCCAATGGAAACAGAAGGCCCCAGAAAAGAGAGAAGCATCTGGCAGTAGCAAATTGTTTTATTTTATCTTTCTGTGGAAAGAAACTAATTTTAAATAAGAACCAGAGCATTTAAAGAATAAATATTTTTTAAAGCTCATTATCTAGTTAGAGCAGCTCTACTAAGAAAACCAGAAGAGCTCCTTGCTGCTTAGAGATGGAAAGAAACAGAAGAAGAATCAGAGTTGTTTCTCCATCACCTAAGAAAATTTTAAAACTTGTGTTATTCTAGAACAACAGAATAAACGGTTCTTTCAAAAACAAAAACAAAAACCAAACCCCAAAAAACCCCCAAAACTCCTACAGGCAGAATCTTTTGGGCCTGGTGTCTTTGAACAAAGATTTTTGTACAAAATTAAGGGCTACATTATAAATAAAAAGGAAGAAAATCACTTGACATTAAGCCCTTCTACTCCTAAGGTTAAGTTCAAAGAAAAAGACACAAAGCAAGACTTTCTCCACTACAATTTCACCAATAACTTAAAATATCAAGGCTTAAGTGATTATCAACATAAACAGTATTAATTAGCAAAAAGACCATACCTAATTGACTGGCTTTCCAATATATTTTATCAGCCTAAATTTTTGATGATTTATTGAGATACTCAAATTGAAAGAACTCAGCCACCAAAGAATATGTGTACGACAGAACCTGACAGGGGGCATAAAATTATTCATGGTAACTGAACCTGTTACCTTTCTTGGATGCTTCTCTAGGAACTCAGTTCTACTGAATTCACTGAGTCAGCATTAAAACCTTTTGATCTAAATCACTCCCACAAAATGTCCATTTACAATTTATGCTGGGGATGAAAGGGACAGCTCAAAAGCAGGAGTGCAGAAGCAGTAAGCATTAAAACAAAACAGAAACAAAACAGTATTAAGTGGAACGTGAACCACCTATTTGGCACTGCCCTATGAAGAATCAAATTAGAGTAGAATCTCCCTACTCTACCTCCACTGCACGCGCGGGCACAAACACACACACACACACACACACACACAAGAAGAAGCTATTTCAGAAATAAACTTCATTCTAAAGCAAAGACCTGAACAATTGCTATTTTTAGATTCTATGCATTTATGTGGTCCATGGACATAAATTATGTTGACCTATAAAATAATATTCACTCTTCAAACATTAACTTCAATTAACATACTTGGAAAAAAGAATGTTCATACACTAAAAAGACTACATGTACAATTACTTGAAAAAAGAACTCTTAGTTTTGTTGTAGCAGAAAATAAATTTTTTATACAGAAGGCTTTTCCTTACATTCACAATTTGATTAGTGTCATGACTCAACATTTGACTTATTTAACAATATTATTTTGACATAAACTAATTCTTAAACAGCTACAAATATTGACCCAGGTTTAGAAATCTTGACACAATGATACCATAGGCAAAAATAAACAACAAACAAATACAAAATAAAACAAAAACATTCTTACTTGTCCCATTGGTGGCCCTCCCATAGGGGGCATCATTTGCGGCATCATTCCATGAGGTACAGGAGGCATATTCGCTCTCTGACCCATAGGGTGCATTCCCATTGGGGCATAATGCATGCCAGGGTGCCCCATCTGAAAAACAGGGACAATTTAAAAATCAGCAAGTAAGAACAAATGCTTCTCAAAAATCTGATTTCCACATACTGGTTATGTGCAGTGCTTTAATATTAGATGAATGTGTGATTCAGTTACTGGGTTAGCTTATACTTCCTTGTCTTAAACAAAATGCACTACCCACCAGTATTCACAATGAGCTTGCAACTGACCAAACTACAGAACAAAATAGGAAAAATCAGGATAATTACTGGACAGCTAGAGTATATATTTTATTTTTCGGAGCAGCCTGCTTTAATCAGTTAGCTTACTAAACCTGAGGAACATGTGAAAACCAATTTAAAAACTGTTATGGGTGAAAAACCGCAACTCTGTTCTATTTCACACAGCAGATAGCTAGTTAATATCTTAACAATAACTATTATTAAATTTATTTTTAAGTTAATTTTAAACTTTGAAACGAGGATTTTCCAAATTATTTCAGATAAGAGCTGGTCTTAAGAGAACACAAACATTATAGGTACCCAGGGACACTTAACTCCTAACATATGAACACTGTACTTCCTAAAAGAATCTTCAACACAAGGAAAATTACTTCTGAAAAAAAAATAATTTTTTTTTCAGACTAAGGTCTATCACTCAAAGACCCTAAATACAAACAACTAACATTTCCATTTTAATTCCCTTTTAAAAGACAACTATTTCTTTACCTTTGTGCCCATTGTTCCAGGTCTTAAAACCAGCTAATTATCCCCTGCCAATCTTCCCAGCTGTACCCCTTGCAACCACCACTACTACTGGTGAAAACAGATTTTGGCAACCTCTTTCAAAGTCTACATAATCAAGTTTCCGCCTCCCCCTCCCTGCTACAGCGGGCCTACCTCTCCAAAACGCTCACCCCGCCCAAGGCCCAGCACCTTCACCGCGTATCTGTCTAGGCCAAGCCCAGTAAGAACTTCCAGGGACCCACATTCTTCCCTTTGTGCATCCCCACTCTCCAATTCTCCTCCTCGTTACATAGCCCACCATCTCGAGCTCTTTCTTCGTCCACTCTCATCTTCTTCTCCTTTTGGAAAAAGCTTCCTGCCTCTCTGACTTCGTTTTTCATTGTGCCGCTTTCCCCCTGCTCCACCGATCCCTTACCGAGGGCCGTCTCCTCAGGAAGCCGTCAGCAGAGACCCAAGAACTGGAGCAGAGGCTTGAGCCGGACAATCTCCGCTCCCCGTCCCCGGGACCCCGCGAAGGAGGATGGCTCTCCATTTCACTCACCATGAGGCCTCCACGCTCCGCTCCCGTCCCCGGCCTCATCGTCGAGCTCAGACTGCTCCGCCGGCGGCCACTGCCGCTACACATACCAACAAGAAGCGATCTGAGTGGCTGGCGCCCGCTGGGGCCAAAGGTTAAAGGCTGCCCTGCGCTACGGGGAGGGATCAGCGGGGCCAATAAGCTGACAGGCTTCCCCACTGTCCAATCAGAGTGCGCTGCCGACACGCAGCTCTGCGGCGATTCGCCCCCAGCCTCAGCCTCACTCGGCGTCGCCTGCATGGACGGGGGGGAGGGGGACGGAGGAAGTTTCTGCGCCTCCGCCGGGAAAACTCCACCAACTTTCCCCGGGGAAGGGAAGACAGCGGTGTCCCAGCTTCCCGAGCTTAGACCACCTCACCCCGTAGGGGGTGGGGCAGTTGGGGCCTGCCACCTTCACTCCCTCCGCCCGAGTTACGTACGCCCCACAAACCTGAGGCTGCCCGGGGTGGGGTGGGGGTGGGGTAAGCAGCTTCTAGCGTTAGCGGTGGCGGGGGCCAGGAGCGCGCGCGCGGTGCTCGAGGAGGAGAGGGGGCGGGGAACAGGAGAGGAGGAGGGGCTCCTTAGGCGAGGGTTCGAGCTCTGTACGCACCAGCTGGAAAGCCCGAGGAGGGGGCGGGAAGGAGGCGTGTCGAGCAGGGTGGAGGGAAGTTGTGATGGGGAGAGGAGAACAATGCAAAAGGAAAAGAGAGAAGGGCAGTTAGGCAGGGGAGAGCGGGGCCAGAGAAAAATAGGAGCGTATAGCAGAAGAAGGGAGAAAGCAAATCGATTGGGAAATGTGAATCCGAGGAGGGTATGGGCGGGCGCTAGGACCGGGCGTCGAGAAGATGCGGCTTTGGTGCTACTGGGGCGCGCGCTTGCCTAGAGGTGACGCGGCCGAGGCGGAGGTCTCTGGCCGGGACGAAGCACTGCAGGGAGAGGAGACTTGGCTACCTTTAGCCTCGGCTTGGCTCTTTCTGCGCACTTCTCTGCTTCCTTTTCTTCCTACTGATCTGGGGTCGTGCTCTGGCCCAGGGGCGCCCAGCCTTTCTTTAGGTCCCACTGCACCTTCCCCGCCCAGTTGCGTACCTCTGCGCCCCCCTGCGCGCCAGTGCCGGGTGGTGGAGGCTGTGGGGGGGTCTGGCCGCTGATTGGCTGCTGCGAGCGCGGGGCGGGGCGGGTGGGAGTCTCTCGACCTCCGCGGGCCAGCTCGTCTTTCCCGCCATGTCGATCGTGGAGGGCGGGCGGCGCTCGGCTGCTCTACGCCGACGTCTCAACACCCCTGTCACGTTTTCCCGGCCCGCGTTTTCCACTTTCACTCAGGGGGATAGTTGGGGTGAGGGTGAAGTGGACGAGGAGGACGGATGCGACCAAGTGGCCCGTGACCTGCGGGCGGAGTTCTCGGCCGGGGCGTCGTCGGAGCCTAGGAAGGGCTCGCTATTCCGGCGGGACGGGGACGGGTCTCCAGTTCTGCCCGATAAGCGCAATGGCATTTTCTCGGCGGTGGCGGACGACGGAGCCCAGGCTCGACGGTGGCCGGTCCAGGTCCTCTCAATTCTTTGTTCGCTGCTGTTCGCCATCCTCCTCGCCTTCCTCCTCGCCATCGCCTACCTGATCGTAAAAGGTACTGAAGCTCCGGCGTTGAAAGTCTCTGTCCAGAGTAAAGTTGATCTTGGACGTGGGTCTTGCCTTTCATCTGTCTCCTCCCCATCAAAGGCCGGCAAGCTGGGAGTGGCTTTCACCCAGAGTCCTCACTGGCACCTTTCTTTGCTCATCTCCTTTTGTTTTGTTTTGTTTTGTTTTCTGAATGGTGGAGCACCCTGGTGCAAGCTTAGGAGACCCGTTTTCAGAAAGGGTCTTGATTAAATGGGTATTCTTGAAGAGAAAGTAGAGTCAGTGAACACTTGGGGTGAAATGTTGACAAAATTAAGCATTATGGAGGACAACAGTCATTAAAAGAGGGTGAAAAGTGTGTGATTAAAATAGGCTATACACATTCAGAGACTTTATTTAATCCACAAATGATTAGAGGTATGCTATTCACTAATTTTGCACACGCACAGAATTCCAGAAAGAACGGATTTCCATCCCACAGCCAAAAGTTCAACTTTTACAGGTAAAATAATTAGCACCTCTTGATTTTGTATTAGGTTTTCAACAGAGTGTAGTGGTGAAGTTTTATAACAGGACCTAAATAACCTATTCTCTGATTATTAGTTTTATTTTCTTGAGTGTGAAGTTTAAGTATCAACCAGATTGGAATAGAAAGAGATGTACTGTGAAAAAATTTTCAAAGTTTATCCTGTAAACTATATGGCTGGATATTTATTTTACAGTGGAAAGAATCAGACCCGAGTTTAAATCTCAGTTCTCTTTCGTGTGTGACTTTGGCCAAGTTACTAACAAAAATTAAAACAAAACTACTTTAGTTCTGTGAGAAGCACCCAACAAGTTGCCACCCAAATATTAGTTTTTTTTTTTTTTTTGCCACTAAATAGAATTAAATCAGCTTAACTCCAGTTTTAATTTTTTCCTCATTGCTTCCAAGCTCCTACTGGGCTGCAGATGGCAGCGAACAACTTGGGCTTGATTTTCATACACAAGACAGTTTAGAGTAAATGTGAATCTCTTTATACAATGATCTTGGGTGTAAACTGTCAATGCTAAATATGTGTTTCATATTTAACATTGTTTAACAGTGTTTCATTACTCTTTCACTCCCCTCCTCTTTTTTTCCATTGTATCTTGGAGAAAGTTTTGTAGGTTATTTCCCTTGTGCTGTGAGAGATTTCCTTTATATCATTAAGTCACAAAACTTGGTAAGCGGAATCCTTTGCAGAAGACATTGAGTTGTGCTTACTTTTGAGAATTGAAGAAAGGAATCTAATATGCTATGTAATTTGCATTGCATAAAATATTTTTAGGGGCACCTGGCTGACAGAAGAGCATGTGTGATTTGAGGTTTTGAGTTTGAGCCCCACATTGGGGGTAGAGATTAAATAAATAAACTTAAAATATTTTCACAATAACTCTAAGAAGCTTTGTGTATATGTGGCAGTTGACTCATAAATGCTTTATTTGCATACTGAAGGTTCATAGCTGGTATATGGAATCAGAATTTGGACCCATTTGTTTCTGACTCCACAGCAGTTTGCACAGGTCCACAATATTTTCCCAGCCTTTAAACTATTCAAATTGTAAAATCATCTTTTTTACTCAAGCCTTCTTTTTTTGTATTTACAGAGTTGCATGCTGAGAATTTAAAGACTGAAGCGGACATAGACACTGGGCTACTAGGTATAACTTAACTGTCACTCGATTTGCTTTTGAGTTCATTTTTATTTTTCGAGATCATGTTTAAACTACAAAGTTTCGGGTAAAATACTTAATCACTTGTGCAATTCATTCAGTCTTAATTTTTTTATTTGTGATAAATTTTATTAGATTTTATATATACTTGGTGTGTGTGGGTGTACACCACACACACTAGAAATACAGTTTGAATATAACTGTATGTGACAAAGACCCAGAAACTATTTAACATTTTCTTGCTACTTTCTGGAAAAGTCTCCCTATATCTTTTCCCAGGAATTAAAAACATACAAAAAAACTTCTTCATGAGCTTAGCAAAGATGACATCTTAAGCAGACCTCAGGAGAAATTTAAGTTTATATCTCCTATAAGCAACTTGTTTTTAAAAAAATGTAGTAAGTATTGGGCATATTGTACAGGTTATTGACAATGAAGAGTCAGACTTGAGTTTCTATAGAATGTCTATAGAATGCTATACAGAGGTGCGCCTGGGTGGCTCAGTCCTTAAGCATCTGCCTTCAGCTCAGGTCATGATCTCAGGGTCCCTGCTTCTCCCTGTCCCTCTGGCTGCTGCTAACCCTGCTTTTGCTCTCTCTTTCTGTCATATAAATAAATAAAATCTTAAAAAAAAGAATGCCATACAGATTACTAGTGAAAACTTCAAGGGTTATTTATCTTGTATTTGTCTCTTCCTGCCAGAATGATTTTGAAGCATCCAGAGCTTTACTGGTTTGGGATATTTTACTCCTGTTTGCTGTAATTTATTCGATTAACCATTCTGAATTGGAAAAAAAAATAGTTGAGATCCTATCCTGCATGTCACCCCCTCTCCTAATTTTAGCTGACCTATTTAATCTCTTCAAGGCTAATGCCCCACAATGATAGAAAATACAGTCTGACTGATTTTGCAGAAGAGGATACCTTTATATTCAAAATATAGAAACAAATTAGTCCCATGAAAACTTTTCTTGGTCTTCTCAACTTCTTGCATGAGAAAATGTACTTTACAGTTACACATTTTATCAGCGTATGTTGTTACACTGTTTCATCTCTAAAAATAGTCAAGGTTATGAGGCTTTTCATAGCATTTATTGATCTGTCAACTTGATGTCACAAGAATAGAACAGAATCTTAAGAACTAGGCATGAATTCTGTGTTGCTATTTAAAAGTTAGAAAACTTCATTCACATTTATGAAAAACATAGGGTGGCAGTTGTCATCTGAAGGAGTGGCTTGTTCAATGTCAAAAGGAATGTAATAAGGCTTTGTTGTTTTCCTGCTTCTTTTCCTACTTCCAGTTAGTCTGATAATACTTTTGGATGTACCTGATAGATACCTAATACTATGACAGCTAATATGAAGATCATTAAGTGTTTGCTAATGGCATGAATTCACTTTCAAGATTCAGGAGCAATCCCAGGAGTGAGGAGAAATTACTGTATCTTTGTGGCCAAAAAACCCTACTAAACAATAGTTATGCCAAAACAAAAATCCTTATTTTGAACCAATGCTTTAGTGGTCAGATAGAGAGTATACTCAACATCTAGTGAACTAATTCAGTCACTTTCCTGGGGATAACTTTAAAGTGGGCATAGTTATAACAAATATTCATATTCATTGTAATGTGTAATAGAAAAGGCTTTTCTGTAGGAAGAGTATAGAATTCTTAACCTGTTTCAGAGAAGCAGTGCCAAGATGATTAAGCACCTATAAAGTTGAGGTTACTGAAATAACACTTACATTGTTCTAAGCTGGAATTCTCTTCCATTGGGAGAAAATACAGTATAACCTCTCTGCAGAAGAATGTTTTGACTTGACTACTAGCCTCCAGTTAAAAGTCTAATTGAGACAGCTGATTGTTGAAAGTAGGCCATTTTTTTTTTTCAAATTTTGACTTGCAATCAAATCAACCTTGAGTTAGCTTAGATATGAAGCAGGATTGCTACATTAGCTTATCTGTGAAGTAATGCCTGTGGAATTATATCCTTACCTGTTTACAATTGATATAAATGTTTTTACATGAAGAAACAATCTTTAATAAAAACTGTGTTGAATTTGTCCACTATTTACAGGAAAAGCAGAATGTAGCCTTTTTAAATCCTACTGATTTTGTTGTATTTCATTGCACTTACTTTGCTTGCTAGGTACCTCATAGGTAAATATAATGTTTGTTTTGTGTATTACCCTTTTTTTGCTGTAATTGTTATTGTTCATACTTGTTGTTATCTTTATATTTCTGTGATTCCTATTTAAATTTTACTGAAAATTGCCTCAAATCTTTAAGAATCACCTGGTTTTTAGAATCAAATAATATAAGCATAGTAGCTACTCTCCCTTGAAAGAGTTCTCTTTCTAGAAAGAGTAATAAAAATTTTGCACACTGCAGATTTTTTTATTACAATTTAAGCCTGGTCCAAGATTGGCATAGCTCATTAAGAGCAAATTTTAGCAACAGCTCTCATTTTAGTATGCTTAAGAATCAGCTGGACTTTCTTTTAAAAAGTATCTCTAGGTTTTGTTTCAGCTCAGGGTAGAGTCCAAGAATCTTCATTTTTTATAGGTGATTTTGATACCCCACAGTTTAAGAAATAGTTTTGCAGGGTAAGAATCTCTTTTTTTTTTTTTTTTAAGAAGTGTGGGGTTTTTTTGTTTTTGAAGATTTTATTTTTAAGTAATCTCTATACCCAACATGGGGCTCAAGCTTACAACCATGAGATCAAGAATCATACATTCTACTGACTGAACCAGCCAGGGGCCCCTAAAAAGTGTGTTTAAAGGCAGTTAAAATCCTTGCAAGTTGACTAGTGACAGACTAATAAGATATAAGTCCCGAATGCCTCTTGAGAAACCTGACTTTGAAAGGATCTGCAGCACTGCCGTTCTCTTGTCATCTTTGCCTGAAAGCAGTCTTCTTGGGAAACTCTTTGTTTATAATTTAAACAAAAAAGGATTCATGATGAGCATGGTATCAGTGCATTTGGGGAGTTAATTGATCCTACTGGTTAATAGGGTTATGCTATCAATGATCCTCTTCATTGGTGAGGTAGACCAGCCAGGAAGATGTAAGAAATTCTGTCACCTGGTTTTGGAACTCATCTCCCTTAATCATCCCTAGGTGGCATTAGAAGGACTTTCCTTTTATAATTGTCCTACAAACCATCCCCTACTGTAAGCCTGTTTTTCAGGGAGATAAATAAAACTTAAGTTTACTTAGTTAAATCACATTTTAGTCCTTCCTGCTAAAGGTTATTCTCAGGCCAAATTGATTGCACTAATATAAAACAGGAATTAGGTGCGCCTGGATGGCTCAGTGGTTAAAGCCTCTGCCCTTGGCTGGGGTTGGGTTCTCTGCTCAGCAGGGAGCCTAATTCCCCCCCCCCCACTTGTGATCTCTGTCAAATAAGTAAATAAAATCTTTTTTTAAAAAAAGCAAACAAAAATAGGAATTATTTCATTTTTGTACATTAACTTTTGTATCCGTCACATTTTCCAAGTTTTATAACTTTTCACATACTTAATTCTATTTCCAATTTTTACATTTTTTTTCATGTCTTACTACAGGGTATGATAAAATGACCTTTTATTTGAGGCAAGCCTGAAATAAGCACATAAGAAAAACAGAAAGATATGCTATTCCGGAAAATGCTTAACCTAAGACTACTGTCATTAAATTAAATGTAGGACTAGTACTTTTAATATACATGTCCTAAGTATTCCATACAGGAATTGTAATTGACTTCATGGAGTTCCTTCAGTCTGAAAAGATTTTTGGTACTTGTCACTCTTGACATCTACTAGTTAATAGCTAACATTAAGTCTCTCTTGTGGCTAAGACCAGATATGTAGCATTTTGCATTGTCAGGGGCTATTCTTGTTTTTTTGTTTGTTTGTTTGTTTTTTAAGGTTTTATTTATTTAAGAGAGAGTGTGAGAGAGAGCATGAGAGCTTAGAAGGTCAGAGGGAGAAGCGGACTCCCCATGGAGCTGGGAGCCCAATGCGGGACTTGTTCCCGGGACTCTGAGATCATGACCTGAGCCGAAGGCAGTTGCTTAACCAACTGAGCCACCCAGGTATATTCTTGTTTTTAAGCTACCCATCTAGTTCTCCTTTATGATTGAGATGTTTATAGGCTTGTGAACATTTACAGAGATGATTGATATATACTGAGTTCAATCAAAGATGAAGACAATTCGTTTGAAGAGTTTATCAGTTATTTACTCTGCCAAGAGATAAGTGAGACTCTACCCTCATGATTTCATAAGATAGAACATTAGAATCTTGATAAAAATTTCCAAGAGAAAGGATGCTTTGGAAGGTGACCCGTTCTCTTAGAAAGGCACAGGTTGAAAACAACCACTCAGTTTCTTCCTTACAGTGAAAAATGACTGAAACTGTGAACTTAAACTATTTTCAGTGAATGTATTGAGCGTTGTAATATGAGGCCAGTATGTATTAAGGATATGATATAGTGCTCTCTGCAGCTGGGTGGGGTAACTCAAGTAATCATTGAAAATTTCACAAATCTGTTCTCCTGTGGCTATGTTTGTAAAATTGTGTGTATTGCTTATTCATATTAGTTGAAGAATGATGACTAAGGCAAAAAAGAAGAGAAAAACAAAAGCCCAAAAGTACTGGAAAGATGCAACCAAAATTTTAGATAATTTACCTGAGTTTTAGATCTTTTTATTTTCTATAATTAATGACAATGACTCTCAATAAGAAAAACTTTGTTTATTATATGATCTCTGATATGAGGAATTTGAGAGGCAAGGTGGGGGTTGTGGGGGGTAGGGAGGGAAAAATGAATCAAGATGGGATCTGGAGGGAGACAAACCATAAGAGACTCTTAATCTCAGTAAACAAACAGGGTTGCTGGGGGGTGGGGGGTTTAGGGATAGGGTGGCTTGGTCATGGACATTGGGGAGGGTATGTGCTGTGGTGAGTGCTGTGAAATGTGTAAACCTGGTGATTCACAGACCTGTACCCCTGGGGCAAATAATATATTACATGTTAATAAAAATAATTAATTTTTAAAAAAGAAAAACTTTGTTTAAAGAAAAACACAAATTTAAGCTTAGAAAAATATAAGTAACATTCAGCAATTAATAATACTTTTAACCTTTACGGTATGCCAAACTTTATTTTATACGTGTTATTTCACCTAGTATTGCCAACCTTCCTGCATTCATTCATATAAATTATCTTCTGAACCAAAATTCACAATGTATGTTAAAATTTTTATGTCACTAGATAGCTGTGGCACAACAGTAAGGCAGAAATAATACGGGTTATTAGCGAGAATTATCATTGTGCAGCCAAATTATTTGTCTTAAAAATCATTGCAGGTCTCCTTACTACACAGAAGTGTAATGAGAAGCCCACATTGGGAACTCTAATCCCCAAGAAATTGGGATCTGGGGAGATGTTTCTTAGGCTAATGAAGTAAAACTTGAACTGGCATTAGAATTAGCTGGAAGACTTAAAACTCATCTTACTAGACTTCGCCTGTTCTAGAGTTTCTGATTCAGTAGGTGTGGTATGGAACCCACAAATTCTTCATTTTTAATAAATTTTCTAGGTGATGCTTATGCTTCTAGTTCATGAGAATCACTGGTCTAGTAGTTCACAAACCTGACATAATCAATAACAAAATCCTGCAGATTTTCTTTTTTCAAAATTAAAAGATCTCAAAATCTATCCTTACCTACTCAAAGTTGAAGTCACTTAATTGGCTACATGTTTGAATGCTCAATATAAGTCAAGGTCTATTGGACCCATTTTTTAATTCTCTTGAACAATACTGTTTGTAAAACGGGTGTTTTGTGACTTTTATTCTTTCTTGGGGCATCTTCCAGAGACTAGTTATGGTTTTGATGGAATGAAGCTTATTTAATCTTGAAATATTGGTTTGTTAGATCCTTTTATAAATCTAAGATACATCATGGGATTTTAGTGATCTTTTCTATATCTCAATTCTTTCTCCCTAGTCACTGTCCCTCTCTCAAATGAATAAATAAATCTTTTTAAAAATGGTGGAATCATAAATTATGCAATAGAATTGTGGCTATGTGTACTGATATAAAAGGTCTCATCATTATGTGAGAGTAGCAAAGCACAGGACAGTTTTTCTGGTGAGAATTCCGATTGCTTTTAGGAGTGGAATTGGTTAATTGAGGTAGGAAGACTTTAACTTTTATATGCTTTTGTACTATTTACAAATTATGTTAACTCTTGGTAAAATGGAGTTACGTAGCATTAGTTGTCAAGTTTTTGACTGCAGGATTCTGGAGGAGGGGACTTGTTAAGATTCAGTTGTTGCTAGTTGCCAACTTGTATGGCTTTTCTGCTTGTTCACAAACAAATTGAGTCACTTTCTGAAGCATAAGCACTTTTAGACTATGATATTACTGTGTACTTTTGTAGACCTTTCACTGTGAATCTACTTTTATCAGTGGTGTAACTTTTGATTAGTTCAAAGTGAATATAAAATAAGAAAGCCCAAAATGAGGCAAACACTTAGATTGGGGAATAGTGCTCAGTTTTGAAAACTCAAGGATATTCTTGTATCAATTTTGACAGGTGTTCTGTTAAAGAACCTGAATGATGGACTCTAAAGAGCCTCATACTTTGTAAATTTTTAATCTGTTATTTTGTGTCTTTCTCACTTTTTTTTAGATATTTAGAAGTTTCCATCATTCCACAACAGTCTCCAGATATTTGATTTTTCATAATTACTATCTTTGTTCTGCAGACTTGTATTATATAATATTAAACAGTGTAAACTTGTCAATTATTTTCTCGCCTTTAGCAGTATTCATCTAAATAATAACAAGTAATAGCTATTTGGCAGAATAACCATCCTTAAGTTGTAGCTGTACATTAAGTACACTTACAATTTTTATTTTGGTCCCGTATCTCACTGTGTTGGCAGAAAGGTTGTACCTCAGTCTCTGCTGAGATTCCGTCTACCTAGTCTCAGATTGGGTTAAGGTTCTGAAGTGTGACACTATGCCAGGACATTGGGGTGGGGTGCAACCTAGTCCTCAAAACATTTGCTCAAATGAGTTAGTTACTGCTGAAACATCTTGCTTTCTGGTAAGGATGGCCTTTCAGATGTCACATTTTTACAGCCACATCACCATCTGCTCTTTCTGTGCCCCACTTAGGGGAGGGACATCTGTAGACTTGGCTCTGGGCCCATCTGCGAAGATCCTGTAATCCCTCTGGACTGTTGTGTGGCCTCTTCATGGCTCTGCCAGGAAGACCCAGCAGTACTACCCCCCCTTCTCCATACATACACACAAGAGCAGACATACCACTTTCTTCAAACAAGGAGAAATCTTTCTCACCTGTGCATTAAGCCCTGTCTTTCTTTCTTCCTGTTCTACACAAACATTTTATTTGTATCCCAATCAACTCATTATCTTTACTGTGTATTCAAGATATTTTGTGTTGATCTATCCTCTTGCTTATATCTATCCTAGGTTGCTTAATCATTTTGCAACATCAAAACCAAAGAGACCTTGTGGCTGTTTCTCTTTCTCACATCCTTCTGGGGCCTTGAGTGCACAGTTTGTTATCTCTTTGAAAGGGTAAAGGAAAGGGAACTAGTGAGGAAAAAATTAAGGTTAATCTTTCAAAAAATAGATTGCCACAGTATTTCATAATACTTCATTGCTGTGAGTTTGTCTCTTAGCTGTTTTATAAGACTATTACTGGGCTTTGTATGGTTTATAAACAGACTGATGCACATAGTTCTTAACTACTTGCTAAAAGACATCTTGGTTGCACATTTTGTGCAGCCAGGAAATTTGGTATTTCATAAGTCATTCTCAACTGTAGTCTTCTCAACCTTTCCTCCCTCCCGGTACTACTGAGGCCTCTGACACACAGTCATCAGTGGTCTTGGCATAGTAAACTCTCTTAAAGAGGCAGTTTGAATATGTATCTAAAAACTGTCAAATTGGGGCGACTGGGTGGCTCAGTTATTAAGTGTTTGCCTTCAGCTCAGGTCATGAGCCTTGCATGGGGCTCCCTGCTTGGTGGGAAGGCTGCTTCTCCCTCTCCCACTCCCCTGCTTGTGTTCCCTCTCTCACTGTCTTTCTCTCTCTCTCTCTCAAATATATAAGTAAATCTTAAAAACTGTCTAATTTATTCCCTCTATTCTCACTTTGTTCATTTCCTTTATTCTTCCATTTCTCTATCTTTTACCCCTTCCATGCATCCAATATAATACCATGCTTTTGACTTTAGAGTTCTTTGAGAAAATCTTGCAGTCTTCCACTTTGAAACTAGAACCTAGGGTCCTAACCCATTTTAAATTGGGAGTTAAAAAAAATAAATAAATAAATTGGGAGTTAACCTTTGTTCATATACTGAGGAAAAAAGAATCCGATGAGGTTTATAATGTTTATAGGAAAGCTGTAAAGAGTAGATACCATAAAATTAATTCGTATGTCAAAAGTGCATGATATGGAAAGAAAGGAATCACGTAATACTAGGTAATAAAAGATAGCAAGCTGTGATTCACAAAGTAAATGAAAAATGTCGAAACATTTTAACAGTGAAGTATTTTAACCATTTTTTCCTATAGTTGAATTTCATAAAGCTGAAGATGTTATATTCTTAAGTTGAATTTGTACTCTTTTCCCCATGTTAAATAATAGAAATATTAAACTATTAAAATGTTATTTATTTTTAATTATTTTATGTTATTAACTTACAGTTGAAATGATAAGATGTTAAATGATATGACTTATTTTTTTCTTTTATTAAAAGATTTTATTTATTTGAAAAGAGAGTGAGCCGAGAGCATGAGCTGGGGGAGAGGGGAGATGGAGAGGGAGAGGCAGACTCCCTGTGTGCTGACTGGGGGACCCAATGGCGAGGCTCAATCTCAGGACCCTGGGATCATGACCTGAGCTGAAGGCAGACGCTTAACCCACTGTGCCACCCTGGCGCCCCTAAATGATATGACTTCTAATTTAGTATTTTATGCTTTTGCATGAGTTTGCTTGTACTAAGCTCAAATCTCTTACGTGTTACCTACAGGCAGTTCAGAAGTTCAAAAATACACATAATCTTTTGAACATGAAGATACTGGTTTACTTTAAATTGCTTTGGTGTTAATGATTAAGTTTTTCTCCTCTCTTCCCATTAAGGATTCTGGACTCTACTTATAATATCTCTATCTGCTGGATTCTCTTGCTGTAGCTTTTCTTGGACAGTGACTTATTTTGATTCTTTTGAACCAGGAATGTTTCCTCCTACTCCTCTTTCACCAGCCAAGTTCAAGTAAGTATTCCTGTTTCTTCTTTTTAACTCATTCCAATTCTGTTGAAATGCTAAAACAGATAGGAGCAAGAGGCTGCTTTATGTAACATAACATGTTGAGGTCCCTGCCTCTATAAAATATAAATGACTTAAGGTTTTCAGTTTGGCTCAGCCTTTAGATAACTGGAGAATATTTTAAACTCCTTACCTAGATAATGTAATGGTTGTTTAAAAAATGAAATTCAAGAAATGATCTAAAAAAGTAAGGAACTTTGATTGCTATTTATCCTTTTGGGATGGAATTTCATTTAAACAGTTTATGAAGGCTAAATTTATACCAGCAATGTGAAAGTTTTACTAAATGCATGTATAAATGGTCAGATTAATATCAGTTTAATAATCAGATTAGACTTTTCCTTAGATTTCAGTTTTAATAATTAGCAAGCATTTATGACACCCAGTTTATATCTCTAGATCAAATTAGATGCATTTCATCGTGGAACAACACTAAATTTCTTTGGTCTGTATTTTCTGTATTTCAAAGACTTTGAGAAAATTGAGTAGGCAGTGTTCTAATCTAGTTTATTTATGTCAGGAAAGCTCAGGTTTTAAATACTGTAAATTTCCAAATAAGAGAATTCTATAAACTGAGGGGTTGGGGAAAAGGTGAAGAGTAGGAAATAAATTTTAGTTTAAGATATGTATATTACCAGAGTATTGTTGTTATTATTGCTGTTATTACTACCAGCTTCAGCTTACTTCATGGACAGCTTGTAGAGATCAAATAAAATCTATTTGAGGGACTCTATAAATAGGAAGTTTACTACTAACAATACTTATTAATAATCATTGTATTACCAGCTCTTATTATAAGTAAACTCATATTTTTCTATCTTATAAATAGATCTTTAAAACTTTTGGCTTCACTTCAGTTGTAATATGTGTGTGTATTTTAAACATCTTAACAAATCTCTGTACTGTATATGAAACATAAATCATACCCTTGGCAATAAATTTTGTATATGTGTTAGAAGTCATTGATGAGTAATTAATAATCTAAATTGATTAAGTTATACCCAACAGCTCAATACCATCCCATAGTTTACATGAGTACCATTCAGTTGCTAAGTTTCTTTTGCTATGCAATATTCTGTTCAATTCAAATTTATACTCCTGCTGCTCGATGACATTAATTACTTGGTAACAAGGGATGTGCATCTAATGTTGATGATATAATTAGGCTCCTTTCATAGGCGACCAAAAATCATAATCTTACATATTTTTTTCCTTTTATTTATTTTTAGCTCACTTCTCTCCTGATTCCTAGCTATTTAATAGATCTTGCAGCCTGAATATCAGAACGCACCCTGTACTTAAAATTATTAAGACTCCAGCCTGTCTTTAAGACATCAGTCTCCATTCACTTATCAAGGCTTGAAATCCTTTTTCACTGCATTTATTCTTTGCCAAATGGATATCCTTTGCCTTTTGGAATGTTATTGGAATACTTTGTCTTTGTACCCTCAGTGTTTTTGCCCTTTTTAAGGCCTTGGCCAGTGACCTTCAATCCGTCATCTCCCCTACTCCAAGCTTTCACTTTTCAAATTCATCCTGTATATTGTTACCTCTGTAAAAGCAGATCTTAGTCACACTCTTCCTTGTTTAAAAGCCTTCAGTGGTTTTCTCACTGCCTTCAAACTGATGTCAACTTCCAAGTACAGCAGAACAGTCCTTCCCCAAGTGATCCTACCGTACTTTTCCAGCTTTATCTTTAGCTATTTCTCCAGTGCACCCTGTTCTGTATCCACATAATCATATTACCCTGGCATCCCTTGAATAAACTGTACTTCTGAGATGCCATGACTTTACTTTTGCTGTTTTCTCTTCCTGGAATATCATTTTCCCTTGCAGATTCTCTTCTACCCCCACCAGAATTCATAAGCCTTAAAGATATTAGAAGCTTTTGGAGTTAGAGAAAAGCATTTCAGTATTCTATTTAAAAACTGGAATTCTGTGGGTATTTAACTAATTTCTTAAAAATCATCTTTGCATTTCAAGGTACCTGGGGTGTTTCAGTTGGTTGAGCATCTGACTCTTGGTTTTTGGTTCAGGTCATGATCTCAGGATCATAGGATCCAGCCCCAGAGCCCAATGTGGGGCTCTGTGCTGAGCAGGGAGTCTGCTGCAGAATCTTTCCCTCTCCGTCTGCCCTTCCTCCTGCTCACTCGTATGTGTACACACATGCTCTCTCTCTCAAATGAGTAAATCCTTTTAAAAAATTGTCTTTGCATTTTTAAAAAGATTATTTGTTTGAGAGAGAGTTTAAGAGAAAGGGCTAGTACAAGCTGGAGAGGGGCAAAGGGAGAGGGAGAAGCAGACTCCCGACTGAGCAGGGAGACCAGTGTGGTATTCCGTTCCCAAGCCCCCCAGGATCATGAACTGAGCCAAAAGTAGATGCTTAACCAGCTGAGCCATCCAGGTGCCCTATCTTTGCATTTTGTATTAAACTAGAACCAGTATTGATAGACCTCTGTTTTTAGTGTGTTATTAGTCATTCAATTTTTTTTTTAAGATTTTACTTTTTTAAGTAATCTATACACCAGATATAGGGGTAGAACTCAACAACCCTGAGATCAAGAGTCTCATGCTCCACTGACTAAGCCAGCCAGCTGCTCTTACTCATTCAATTTTAATATGAGGTAGTGTCAGATTCGAGACTCAGATTGCATATTTCTTAATACAGCCCTAGAGCCACAGTTTTAAAATATGTACATTATGTTCACATATATATATATTTGAATTTCTTTCAATTTGTAAACTGGGTAATTTAATTTTATATATTATAAATCAACTATTAAATACTCAAGGCCATGAGTGAAACTGTCATTTAAAATTACCAGATGTTGATACAGACACAGTCCAAAAAAGGCATATAATAAATATAGTGATAGATGATGGCCTATTAACAGAAACCAGACGACAAAGGCAGATATAATATAGAGTTAATTGATGAAACTGAGTTTTATAGTGAAAATCCTGCCCTCTAGTGCTTGTAGAAAATAATGCAATTACTGTACTCAGAAATGTCAGAATAAGTATATTCTCTATGTCACCAGTAGAGTGAGAGCTTGTACAAGGAAAGGACTTCTGTACCTTTTGAGAAAGTTGAAATAATCAGACTTCATTTTCTTAGAAATCATATTGATACATTTCAATAATTTGTAATATCATGCATTTATAAAAATATCTTTGTAACAGGCTATTTTATAACTTAAACAATGATGTTAATATAAATATTTTTCCTGATTAACTGAAAGTAGTGCAAATTCTTTGTTGAAAATTCAAAGAAAAAAAACAAAAAAAATGGGAAAACTTATAAACAGAAAGTGGCTGCCAACATTTTAATGTATATCTTTCCATTCTTTTCATATTTTAAAAATTAAACTTTGGGGGGGTACTTGGGTGGCTCAGTTGGTTGAGCGGCTGCCTTCAGCTCGGGTCATGATTCTGGAGTCCCGGGATCGAGTCCCACATCAGGCTCCCTGCTCGGCGGGGAGTCTGCTTCTCCCTCTGACCTCTCCCCTTTCATGGTCTCTCTTTCTCTCTCTCAAACAAATAAATAAAATCTTTAAAAAAATAAAAATTAAAAAAAAATTAAACTTGGAATCATAGTAGATATACTGTTTTATAAACCATTTTTTTTTTAAAGATTTTATTTATTTATTTGTCAGAGAGAGAGAGGGAGAGAGAGCAAGCACAGGCAGACAGAATGGCAGGCAGAGGGAGAAGCAGGCTCCCTGATGAGCAAGGAGCCCGATGTGGGACTCGATCCCAGGACGCTGGGATCATGACCTGAGCCAAAGGCAGCTGCTTAACCAACTGAGACCCCCAGGCGTCCCTATAAACCATTTTTTATTTAACATTATGTTTTATAATATGTATATAATATCATATGTTTATATTAACATTATTTCTTTTGAATTTTTTTTCAGTATTTCTTTTGAATTTTCAGTGTTTTAAATACACTTTAAAGACGTCATCATGTCAGTTTATTTTTAAAGGGAAATCTAATATAAATGATAGCTAGATTCCAAGATAATTTATTAAGCAGGGATTTGCTTAACTAGAGACTAAAGAAAAGCAGGATAGTTAAGAATCATAAAATGAAGGGACTTTTTTCCTTATTTTTTTTATTTCTAGTACCATGAGTATCAGACATGATGAGAGTAAAATAATCGTGTCTGTTTTTTTTTAAAAGCAGTCTTTTGCTCTCCTTTGCAGATTTTAAACATTTGGGCTTTTTTTCCCCCCAAATAAGCTAATTGGTAAAAGTGGAGAAAAAAATTGAGAGGCCCATGTATGTGGCTCTCAGTTGTTTATCCCTAAAAATATAAAGTCCTAAAGGGAAGAAAAAAATAACATGTATTGATATTTAGTAAATATTACATGAAAGGTCTAATGAAATCAGCAATTTGAATGAATAATTCATTGATAGAGTTGAGATTAGAAATAAAATCTTTTTCTTGTATTCATTAAAGTATTTTTTCATATTTATTCTTTTATGTTTGTTAGATATTTTCTTAGCTGAGGCCACTACAACAAAGTACCATACACTGGTGGCTTACAAACAACAGAAATTTGTTCCTCTCACAGTTGTGGAGACTGAAAGTCTAAGATCAGGATGGTAGCTTAGTTGGGTTCTGATGAGAACTATCTTCTGGGTTGCACATGGCCTCCACATTGTATCCTCACAAGACTGAGAGTAGGTTTCACTCTCATGATCTCATCTAACTCTAATTACTCCCAAAGACCCTACCTCCTAATACTATCACACTGGGGGGTAAGGTTTTAACACATAAATAGGAAAAAGTGTGGAAGGGGGTACAAGCATAGTCCATAACAAAATTTAGAAATTTTCGCTTTAGGAAATAACAAGGTAAAGAACTTTGCAAGGTATGTTTTCAGACAGATATTTAATGGACTTCAAAAGGGATATTAAGAAAAATTATTATACTGACTTA